ATTTGTGGTTCATTATTAAATTTTCCTCAGAGAGATCTTCTCTGCATGCATCTTCAGGTTATAATTTATTTCTCATGTTTGGGAGTATTTTTCCTCATAGAGCCTACCCTCGGTTTTTCCTTTTTATTTGGACACTGTTGGTATTTGCCAACAGAGTGTGTGGATGGTTTTCACTATCCACTTAGGTTTAGATGCCTTCTCAAATCTGTATCTGAGGAATAGGTTGTTATATGGTTCCAAGTGACCGTTACTTAGACCAGTCTAAATGTGGCTTTGCTGAATTAAACTAGGATCATCTGCTACCCAGCCACTTAAGCTTGTTTTTGGGGGCACTTAAAAAACGTTAAAGTATATGGAAAAAAACATATTTTTAAAACGTGTACTACTAACAGGGTTTTCCCTGCATTTTCTGGTCTCTGCAGAGCTTTTCCTGTGATACTAAGCCTTCCAAGAAGCAGTGAACCATTGTCACTGCCCCTCTATCCTTTTGTCATATTGTTTGCTGGGAATTATATTTAAATGGACATATAAAGAGGTGTGCCACTGGGAACTGGGAATGAGTTACACAACTCTGGCTGCCTCATAAAGCCATCTTTCTACTGCATAAACACTGTGTCTGTTAAACAGCAGGAGGAAAAAGGGAGTGAGCTAAAGTCCTTTACTCAGCTGGCAGAAGTATTGTGTTTCACAGAGCAAAGCAAGCCTTTGCATGGTATCTACCAAACAGAAAACTGAGACTACCATTAATTTGTTTCTAGTGCTGGTTTCTGGGACTTTCAGATAGTGAAACTGTTAGAGATTTCTCATCAGAGGTTAACTGAATTTTGGTAGGATGTGCTGTTGTCTTTTTCTGTGCCTTTGTATGGATTGTTGTGAGAAGGTGGGAGAGACTGCACTAGGGGATTCTATTCAGATACCATCTTAAGCTGAGTCTAAAGTGCATTTAGTTCATAATGCATTTTCCATTTTTATTAATCAAAAAAAGGTATTGAATAAACATTAAAAAAACATAGCAACTGTAAGGAGCAGTTTTGAAAGGCCAAGATTTGCTGCTTTTGGTAGCTGGTGCAGTGTTATCATGTGAATAAGTTTACCGTTCCATTATAATTTTGGAGAAATTACATATAATTCTTAGTCCTCCATTATTACTTTTAAAGTTTGCTGTTGGAGAAATAGCACTTTGATTTTCTCTTTGTTCCTACCCTGGCCATCAGTGGTCTAGATGTGAAACACATACCTGTCAAGGAGGTTGAAAGACCAGAATGAAGTGCCTCCAGAATTCTCCAAGCCAGCCTGTGGAATAATGGGTCAAAACAGCTGCCAGGGCTAGTTGTTGAATCTTTGGAAAAATGATACTTTCAAAGATGCTATTTTTCCCATAGTTGTCTTATCTCTGGCAACTGTTTCTGGCTGCTAAGTTTCAGATCTAATAGTAAAATTACAACCTCAAGAAATCCATCTCACTGGAAAGTCACTGGAGTTATTACAGCTGCAGAATTAAAACCAAAATTGACCAATGGGATCTAATTAAACTAAAGAGCTTCTGCACAGCAAAAGAAACTACCATCAGAGTGAACAGGCAACCTACAGAATGGGAGAAAATTTTTGCAGTCTACTCATCTGACAGAGGGCTAATATGCAGAACCTATAAAGAACTCAAACAAATTTACAAGAAAAAAACAAACAACCCCATCAAAAAGTGGGCAAGGGATATGAACAGACATTTCTCAAAAGAAGACATGCATACAGCCAACAGACACATGAAAAAATGCTTGTCATCTCTGGCCATCAGAGAAATGCAAATCAGAACCACAATGAGATACCATCTCACACCAGTTAGAATGGCAATCATTAAAAAGTCAGGAAACAACAGGTGCTGGAGAGGATGTGGAGAAATAGGAACACTTTTACACTGTTGGTGGGGCTGTAAACTATTTCAACCATTATGGAAAACAGTATGGCGATTCCTCAAGGATCTAGAAGTACCATATGACCCAGCCATCCTATTACTGGGTATATACCCAAAGGATTATAAATCATGCTACTATAAAGACACATGCACACGTATGTTCATTGCGGCACTACTCACAATAGCAAAGACTTGGAATCAACCCAAATGTCCATCAGTGACAGACTGGATTAAGAAAATGTGGCACATATACACCATGGAATACTATGCAGCCATAAAAAGGGATGAGTTTGTGTCCTTTGTAGGGACATGGATGCAGCTGGAAACCATCATTCTTAGCAAACTATCACAAGAACAGAAAACCAAACACCGCATGTTCTCAGTCATAGGTGGGAACTGAACAATGAGATCACTTGGACTCGGGAAGGTGAACATTACACACCAGGGCCTATTATGGGGAGGGGGGAGGTGGGAGGGATTGCATTGGGAGTTATACCTGATGTAAATGACGAGTTGATGGGTGCTGACGAGTTGATGGGTGCAGCACACCAACATGGCACAAGTATACATATATAACAAACCTGCACGTTGTGCACCCTAGAACTTAAAGTATAATTAAGAAAAAAAAAAGATTTGCTATTAACTACTTGATTATTATTTCTATAATCTCTAATGAATGTAGAGCTTAAATGATGTTCACCATTTTTTGAAAAACATGAGTTGGTTTAAATTCCTTCTTAACTCTTTTAGCACTGAAGTTCATTAATTGGATTTATGGAACAATTGTCTATAGCCTGTTCTCCTTAGTTAAGAGTTTACATTGGTGCCAGATTTTGACAATATGTATTTAACTTTTCTACAGTAGTAACCTAAGTGTGAGTGTTTTCAAATGCCATATAAATCAGGGACTCCTAGTTGTTAGGGAAAATCAGTATCTTATCTCTCAAACTAGGTCAGTGCTTTTAAACTGGGCTTTCAGGGAATATCTATAGATTGTATAAAAGTGTGCTTCCACTAATAATCAATAATCTTTTCCCGGTATGTGGAAAAGTAGTTTTAGATCTTAAATGCTTTCAACCCTTTTGTGTGAATTACAAATTGTTTGACTAGTAGAAAATAAACAGGACAAAAACTGAGCAGTGATCTTGTTTAGTTCACTCACTTATTTTTTCATTGACACATGCTTGTGATATTTATATAGCTTATGTTTAATATAGCTTTGCTTTTTATTAAATATTCTAGATTTTCTACTGGAATTAAGATTTGTCACGGTATTGCACAGAAAGCACCATAACTTCAAAGAGCTTTGCCATTAGAAATGGTTTGAGAACCCCCGAACTTACCATCTTGTAAGATACTAGAGGGCAAGGACCTTTTGCGTTTATCATCACACATGTTGAGTGGAAGCCACTGCAGACTCTTAAGTGGAAAATAACATGAGGAAAATTGGATTTAATATTTTGGGATAAATTTTGGGGGAGTTTTCTGGATGGACTGGTAGAGGTTGAGGGTAAGCATAGGAATGAAGATGGAAGGTAACCACTTTAAACACTGGTAGGTCAGTTTATATTAAGCATCTGATTAAAAGCTCTGAAAACTCTAGCATTATGATCCAAGTTAAAATATTGAGGTAGCTTTCTCTCCTTTTAGTTTGAAAAGTTAATTTTGAGTTGATGGACATTATATGATGACTAAAGCCAATTTTAGCTTACCATTTCTCTCCCCGATGGTCTAAAATATGCTTCTAATATCATAACTGTTGTTACAGTCTTGGCCGGTAATTCAGTAAGTAGAAAAGAGTCATTGTCACAAACTTCCAATTACAAGGCTGTAATGTAGCTGTTGAAATGACAACTAAATGAGGAAGACTTTTCTTGCTGGACAGAAAAGCATATGTGACACTTGGGGGGTGGGGAATAGAGAAGGGGGATAAAAAATTGACTTCGATGGACTTTGATATTAGGGAGTATACAGGGAGATAAATGATAAAGGTAAATATAATAGTGAATAGGAGTAACAGTAGAAGGAGTTAAAGTTCAGGTACTATAGGAACTCAAAGAAAATAACATATCAGGTGGGAATAATGGTAGAGTCTGGAGGAGGCATTTGACTTAGTGAGTTTTGAATAGGCACAATGAATAGGTTAAGGAGCATTCTACCTCAAGGGAAAAACATGACCCAAGGCACTGGCCCTCAAACAAGTGTGTGTTGAATATCTGATGGAGTTGGGTAGTGTTTGTTCTTCCACTGATTTACTCAGTATGATATGTGAATGCCTCTTGAATAGCAAGCACCTTGGCAGGTTGGTGCTGGGAATATAATAAGATGACCCTCATGGAACTACAGTCTAGCAGAGATGGATAAAACCAACAAATTAATGAATATATAAATCCAAAGTGAGAAAGACTGTTAGGCTACTGAATAACTTGAGTGAGGATAGATGGTGTGATTAGGTAATCAGGGAAGGACTCTTTGATGAAACAAAATATAAGCTGAAACTGATCTTTCTTAGGAGCCAGTTTACCCTGTGGGATATTTACCCTGTCTGAAGTCTTTACCATTGTTGATATCCCAATATACTTAATTTGACGAAACTAGTCCCCCTTCAAACACAGCCAGTGAAATTTCTCTTTTTCATCAATATTTGCTTTATTGATTGCTGAATTATTTACCTGTTATAAAATTTATCATGTTATTCTTGTTTTGCAGAAACCAAAGCTGAAAGACTGGCATCCTCCTGGGGGCTTTATTCTGGGATTATGGGCACTTATTATCATGGTTTTCTTCAAAACTTACGGAATTAAGCATATGAAGTTCATTTTTTAGATTTGATGATGAGTGAAGAAAGCATGGAAGACTGCAACCTTGGATAATAATTTATGTCATTATATATTTTTAAAAATGTGTTTCTCTTGTGTGAATTGGAAATAAGTATAAGGAAACTAAATTTGAATCAACTATTAATTTTATAACTTAAAGAAAAATAATTGTTAACGCAATTGTGAGATGGCACAAAATATATTCCGGTTTTGTATTTTGTATTTATAAAAGCAAATGGAACAAAGAGATCAGAGTACATTGATTGTTTTTGAAAATAGTAATTTCCCCTTATCCCCTTTTCATTTGGAAAAGAAAAAATTGTGAAGACGTTAAATTCTCACTAACAGAGGTAACTTCGGTTAATTATTTTCTGTATATCCTCCCAATCTTTCGACTTACGCACATATTTTTTTCCCAATATGGATATCATATGGAATATACTATTTTGTAATATCCTTTTTCATCTTACAATATATTATCAACCTTTTCCCTCTCAAAAATACATTGTGAATAACTGCATAGTATCCACTGTATGAATATTTAATTCATTTCACAGTCTTCTATTGTTTGACCACTTACATTGCACCAAACATTTTCCTTTGGTTTATTCTTTAATGTATTAATATTTTACTGCTGTTCACTCATGGAATCCTGCAACTTTAATTAAAAGCAAAGATGAAAAATTGGTTTTTTGATCTATGGCACTGACAGTCTCCAGGACCTTATATGTTGTCAGTTTATTTGGGAAATTTTAGATCTTTGATAATTTCACTTATTGACTGCTCAAGAGAAACATACCCCATTATTTTTCATTTGTAAGCGTTCTGTGATCTTCTAGAATTGGTCACCTCCTCTTCATTTTCCACCTTGAAAGAGAGAGCCAACAAGGACTTTATTTCATTCTGTTTAAGGTAAACCTTGCCCACTGTCTGTGTCTATACTTTCCCTGAGAAAAATCCCATAAAGTGGATGGACCTGCGAAGAAAATGTATGCTTATGGCCTAGCCTTCATGTCTGGCTGATGTATCCTATAAGGCAGTAAGGCCTTTTTCTGGTCTCTGATAAGATGCAAGAGCTCATATCCCCATCACTGACATTTTAGCTTGGAAATAATATTGAGGCTGTGCTGTGACCAAGCCCTGATACTGTTTTTTCTTTTCAAACTTTTGCATATGAGTAGAGGAAAAGCCTAAAAGTTCAGCATTTATGTCTGGGGGGATACCTTCAAGTGTCTTACCTGTTTTATGCAAGAACTTATGTGTCCATCTTTATTCAGTGCAAAGATCTGTTTTATAATTTTGTTTATGATTGTAGGTAACATTAAGAAGACAACTCTTCCTCCACAAGAAAACCTCCTAAAATATTCCTGAAGATTTGTTTTTCCTTTTGCACTTAAAATATTACCTTTTAATTGCATGCAAGATTGTCATACTTTTCACAGGCAAAGGATTGACTGTGTTATCTCCCTAGTTAGAACAAATGATATTGAGGCTTTTTGCCAGTTCTGAATCTTTATTTTAATTGATCTTTTTATTGGTATCTTATATAAATGAGGAAGGAAAATTTTGTCTGATTATGTGAAGGATCTTTCTGTAGGTGAAAAGAAGGGAAAATAAACTTGCAATTGAATAGACTGATCACAGTAGCACTGAGACACACACAGATTGACCATGTTACCCTCCAGACACTCATCCAAGGTCATGGACACCATGGGGAGGCGGAGCTATTTAGGGTGGTAAAGGAACTATGATTGTTCTTGAGCCAAAGTAATTTAGTTTGAATATAATGAAACATACTCTGATGGATAAAGACTGCTAGAAAGTAAAAGGATTCGTCTTCAGAGGTTACAGAAGGTGCCCTTCTTAGTTAAAACCAAACTGGGAAAAGTAATACTGGATAAAATATTCAGGATAAATTTTGCCTCGGCAGAATTTCAAAGGGCAGTTATTCCTCTGTTTCATTGTTGAATCTTCAGAATATAGTTAAAGCCAAAAGCTTAAAATATGTTAAATGTTTCACTTATAACCATAATCTTTTTACATAGACCATACTCTGCCTTCATAATAACTAAATCCTCTGCATGTGGTAGATGAGTATATTTAGGAAATACTGTCATTGCAATTAAATGGCCTACACTTTAGACGATAACATAAAAACAAATCTTTAAATATATTCTACTTGAGTCATAAAAGCTGAACAACAGAAAGGTGTTTTGGTTTTGCCTTTCTCACAGTGTTGTGGTGAGAATCAGATGAGATAATATTTTGACTAAACACTTTGGAAATTGTAAATATATGGTGGCATTGTTCTTGTGTCAGCTCAGGAGGATACCATAGGGGAAGTTAATGGTGACAGTGTCCCTGTTTCTGTTGCACTTATGTACCTTTCTAAGCTACTCAATGTGATTCTTGTTCTCTTTGCTGTTCTTTTTCTCCTTCCCCATGGTGTCCTTCAGAGAGAAAAGGAATGTAGATAAATGAATCCCAGCAGATGTGTCCTGACATTTCAGGGAGGGACAGGGTGTAATGATGCCATCCTGCAAAAGGCAGCCTGTGTGAGAAAAAGAAATCAAATGATGTGGATTTTAAAATTACGAAAGACATTCATTTGCAGTTTGTGAAGGGAAAATGTAGTTTGGATACAAAGCTGATTAAATTGGATCAAGAAAAATTAGAATTAACTGCAAAAAATAATGCATGCATTTATGGTTTCGATTTTTATATATTCCCAGCTAGTTGAAAATGATGATTCCCACAGCAAGCATAACTCAGCTTGTTTCTGCTTACTGAGTATTTTCTACTATGGTATATGTTGATAACATTTCTTCCATTATGTATGTTGTATACCAGAGTTACAGTTACTGTGGGAATCATAATTTGAATTTTTGACTCCTGCGTTTCTGGAATCTTTACAACAAATGTTGCATTAACATATAACTTTTTTCAGTTCACTTTACCAAAATTAAGCCCATCTTTAGTAGATACTGTTTTAACATGTGAAAGAAATACGTTATAAACATACCATAAGGTATGGCTACAAAATAAGGAGATCAGTATCCATTTTTGCTTTATAGAATTGGCCTTATTGCTTCATTGTCACATCTCATACTCAAGGGCATTTACTACAAAGAAAGCGTTCTCCAATATTGCTGTTCTATTGCTGCCTGCCCTATTTACACATGTACCTGCTACTTAAATAGGAAAGCCTTTCAATTCATGGACAATACACCTTGGTGGTAACCAGGCTTTTATTTTATTTTATTTTTTTAGTGTAAAAAATGTACTGTTTTAGAAATGTGCTGTGAAATATTAGGTTTAACTGTGTAGATCCTAGAATAAGGGGATTTATATAGATGAAGTTGTAACCAAGAAACTGGTTATTAAAAATTTACTCCAAACATGGAAAGGTGGCCATGTCATTCTTGTGTCACCTGCACAGCTTGCAGTCTCTGAGACTTCGGAGGACTCTGAGATTTGCCTGCTGAGGCATACCCAGTCATAGGGTCTGCCAGGTGGGAACCACATGATATGATCCATGTTCGGTTTCCTCTCTTTCGACTGTGGGAGTGCCAGCTGTGACTGTGCTAGAGTTTCAGGGAGGGCCTGAGCGAAACTTTCTTAGGGGGTCATTTAATAAGGTCATAAATGTAAAGCAAATCACACAATGTCCAACATATATGAAAAGTCAATGTTTTGTTCTTTGCTGGGCTTTTAACTTCCACTCAGGCCCAGGGTCTGGTCACTCTTTAGAGAATATTAGCTTTGCTATTCCTAGACTGTCCTTTTCCCATCTGTTTTCAGCAGGCATCACTTTTGGGTAACAGTTTCTTTCGATACTATCCAATGATTTTAATCCATAGACTCTCTTTGCCTCCCTTTTCTAGATGTTTTTCCTATTTTAGGTAGGTTGAGACTTTTCTCATCTTCCCTCGGCCTTAGTGTTCCATTGTCGTCGTCTTTCATACTCAGTCCACTCTGTTGGGAACACACCTTTAACATGACTTAAGGGACAGTCTTTCCTCACCCTCAGATTGCAGACGTCTGGATAATCATCTAGTACTGCAAAACAGTGAGCATTACATTTCCAAGAGAACATATCCCCTACTTTCCCTACCCTTTGTTAGAGCTTTTTTAGTTTCAAATGATAAAAACCCAAGTAGAACAAATTTAGGCCAAGAGGGTAATTTGCCAGAACGATATTAGGATATTTTGTATAATCTTTCAGAGTGGGGTCAGTTCTGAGCCTCATCAGGCACTGGAGTGTCACCTGGATTCTCTTCTCTCTATGTGTTCCCTTTATTCCTCCGGGAAACTGGCTTTCTGACATGATGGATAGAGCCTCATATTCCGTGCTTCTACCACAAGAGAGAGGTAAATTACTCTCTTCCTTTAATTCCAGTTCTACAAGTCTTATGGAAGAACAGATTAACCTTATTGGCATCACGGGTTCACAGGCCAGAGGGCTAAGGTCTTGTAAGCCCGTAAGGACCTCTGGTGGCATACCCCATTAGCGCTCCTCCCAGAGAAGGGTGGGATCACAGGAGCCAGGCAGTTACCCGTATTACTTTCTGCTAACTTGCTGTTCAATGGGTGGCCCATGTAGCTGCAGTATCCCCCTTGTAGCTTCCTAGAAATGCAGAATGTGATGCCCCTGGCATCATATTGTTAAAATCTTGCATTTTAACAAGATCCCCAGGAGTTTGTGTGCCCGTAAAGTAGCAGAAGCACTGACCTACTACACCTTTCTAGACCAAACAGCTCAATTTTATCTCCTAAAAAGAGATTGTAAAAGATTACAAACACTAGTGAAATAAGCAGCCATGGTTAGCACTTTTATGGGTTAATTGACTCTTTAGCATTATTCCTGACTTCTATTCAGACCTTGTAAGACTGTGCACCACTCTCATTCTCTTTGTTTCTGGGGCTTTTTCAAAATACAATAAATGCTTAAAACAAGCAACTAATTAGCATTTATATGTGTAGTATCTTCAAATCCCTTGACACTCCTCTCATCAAGACATGGAGTCTAAACTCCCCACCTCTTGAATATGGGCTGGCCTTAGTGACTTAATTCTAATAAATATAATGTTACAGAATACTACTGCATGACTTCAGAGATCATAAAAAGGATTATAGCACCTGCCCAGCTCTTTTCTAGGACACTTGCTCTCGGAACCCAGCCACTGTCCCCTGAGGAAGCCCAAGCCGCATGGAGAAGTCACATATGTGTATTGCGGAGGGCAGCCCCCTGGCTGAGGTCCCACCAGGAGCCAACATCACACTCCAGAGACGTGCAGTCAGGAGCCTCCAGATGTTTCCTGACTGCAACCTCAGGAGAGACCCCCAAGTGAGAACCACTTAGTTATCCCCAGAACCATGAGAGAGAATAATTACAAAAGGTTGTTATTTTACTCCATTAGTAGAGCGTGGTTTGTTGTACAACAATTAGTTATTGAAACACTGTATTAATGAGCTACACACTCTAGTAGATGCTTATGAGGGATACAAAAATCTAATACATTAAAGAGTTACAGTGGATTCTAGAAAGGAAAAAAACTACATAGCAGAAAATGACGAGTGCTCTGTAAGAGTTATAGGATAGGAACTTAAAGAGAAACCTCTGTTTTTAATTGCTATATAGAGATATTACTAATCTTTTATTTACTATCAGTTGAAGAGGCAGAGCACACATCAAGGAGGAAGTAAAATTTTAGTCATGATTTATAGACAACAAGATTAGATTTCTCTATCCCTTGTCCCTCTCTATTTTCCACTATTGTTCTTTTCAAAATTGTGCATTTTCTTCAATCTTCCTGCTCTACCAACTCAGTTCTTTCATCAAAAGGCTTTGCTTTGTAATCTGAAAATTAAACTGGGGGAAGGTAACCAGCTCAATTTCCTGTTCCACCTCCTACAGATTTGCCTTTATTTTCTCCCATCACAGCCCTACCCACTTCTTTGGGCTCAGAGACTGAGGCAGAGATCCCAATGCTTTGAGTATATTGATCCCATCCCTTTTGGGATCTTGTTTACTCATCTCTTCCTTCAATTTCTTTTTACATAGAAGAATTTCCACTTGAATTTTATACGATGTGTAAGTTTTCCTCATCTTAAAAATTCCTCTCAAAATACTGTGTCCTAAGTGCTTTACAGAGCTCTCCTCTGCTTAATTTCATAGCTTTTCTTTTGAAAGAGTGGGCTGCATTCACTTACTGGCTTCCCTGCCTTGCCTTCTCTTCATCGTAAACCCTCTTGTAATCTGGTTTCTGTTCCCACTACTCCCCTGAAATGATTCTCTTTACTGTTATCAGTGATGGAACTGCCAAATCCAATGGAAACTTTGAGCTTTGCTAATTTGGAGGTCTTTGCAGCCAAGAGGGAGAATGCTTTCATCAGGAGACACAACAGTTTCACTGAATTTGAAGAGAACATTGCCACCTGGTCATTTGAGGCTGTTTGTGTCACTAAAACAACAGACCAAAAATAAGAAGTTGCTTCACTGGTTGGAGTGATTGATCTCAGTTTTCAAGGGGAAATTGAGTTGCTGCTACACACTGAGGAGAAGGAGGATTATGTGGAATCCAGGGGATTATCTGGGGTGCCCATTAGCAGTTCTTATACCAAAAAAAAAAAAAAAAGGCAGACGATTAAGGACTTCACTCTTCTGAAGGAAGTTTTACGTCACTCTACTGGATAAAGAATTGACCCGCCGAGCTTCTGGCCAAGGTCAAAAGAAATATAAGCCAGAGGTATCAACTATGGCCTTGTGCCCCACTACTGAAATGAGGGCTGTAGTGGCTTTGTGTTATTTGTAGTCTTTGTAGTCTCTTTGGCTATTATATGTTTATGTAGGCTATTTCTTTCTCTTTTTTCCATTTTTATTTTTACACAAACTAGTGGTGCTTAACCATACATAATAGTCTTTAGGCAAGAAAATAATCAGTGAAACTATCATAGAATTTGAGGAGTAATGACTATAGCTGGCAATGGATACAGTGATGGTTAGGACTGTGCATCTCTTTATTTTGTGAAGGGTGAGAATTTCTTCATTTGTGAGAATAGCAATATCTTGTTAGGTGGAAACACAGAGTTGCTTCATTATACAGAACTCACATGAGTGAAGGGTAAATATGGAAAATGAGTAGCTAAAGGAATGTACTGTTCCCAGTTATCAACTCATTGTCTCAACCCCCAATCCATTTATTACCATTTTAGGATAATGGAGCTGAACCCCTTAAGAATTTCTTCTTTACAGTGAACATGTTGCTAGGCTTTGTCAATAGACAGTGCTGGAGGATCACAGAAGGAAGGAGCTTTTCTTCTTGTTTCTGGTGATCATCTCCTGCAGAGAAAGAGAGAGAGAGAGAGAGAGAGAGAGATAAATATATATATAGAGAGAGTACATGTGCTTGTGCACACGTTCTGTGTTTTCTGCCGTGCCCAGCGGCCGGCAGCACAGAGCACTTCCTGTAAACAACTTTATAGTGGGAGGGTTACCAGCAAAACACCTTCACTTGAATGGCTGCCTCAGGCAACTGGTTCCAGCCATTTTAAGCAAAGTGCAGATGGTGGGCACATCCTTATGAACATTTTCCCCCCAGCATACCTCCTTGCAGAGAGCTGCTAACAGGGCAGCTTCCTCTGAACAACTTTCCCCACATTCCTTCAGGTGGCTTTCCAGTGAGTTCTGAGACATGGCTCCTCCCTGAGGATATTACCTTAGCACTCCAAGGGGCAGTTTTCCAGCAAGCTCCACTGACATGACACCTCAGTGAACTTCTCTGCCAGTGTGCCTTGCCATGCCCTCTCCAATGATGTCTGATCTCAGCCCTGGGAGGTGTTGGCTTCTTCCTTGGACTTCTGGCTCAGTCCCAGGGGAGGAGGCTGCCCATTAAATTTCTCCTTGGTAATTGGGATCAATCACTCCGCCAGTGAAGCAGCTCCTTATTTTTGGCCCATTGATTTAGTGACATAAACAGCCTCAAATGACCAGTTGGCAATCGTCTCTTCAAATTCAGTGAAATTACTGTTGTGTCTCCTGATGAAAGAATTCTCCCTTTTGGGGACGAAGACCTCCAAAGTAGCAAAGCTCAAGAGAATGTGCCTGCCACTCCCGTATTCTTTAGAGTACTTGTTATCGCTCACTAGCAACTGCCCCTTTTGTCAGGCCTCTGAGCCAAAGCTAAGCCATCATATCCCCTGTCACCTGCACGTATACATCCAGATGGCCCGGTTCATGCCTTAACTGATGACGTTCCACCACAAAAGAAGTGAAAATGGCCTGTTCCTGCCTTAACTGATGACATTACCTTGTGAAATTCCTTTTCCTGGCTCAAAAGCTCCCCGACTGAGCACCTTGTGACCCCCGCCCCTGCCCACCAGAGAAAAACCCCCTTTGACTGTAATTTTCCTTTACCTACCCAAATCCTATAAAATGGCCCACTCCTATCTCCCTTCGCTGACACTCTTTTCGGACTCAGCCCGCCTGCACCCAGGTAATTAAAAAGCTTTATTGCTCACATAAAGCATGTATGGTGTTCTCTTCACATGGACGCGCATGATACCTTTACTCTTATTTCTTTTTTCAAATTGCCATGTAATTTCTGTGTCCTGATTGGACTTTCACTGATACAAGTCCTTAAAGAAACTAGATGGTATTGTTACTGGGGGGTCCTTGCTCCCAGAGCTCCCAAGATGGTGGCAGTCTGCTTCCAAAATGGTCGTGGGCCACTTCCAAGATGGTGGCAAGCCTTGTGTTCTCTGACCCGGGGTTCTTGGCCTCACAGATTCCAAGGAATGGAATCTTGGGCCATGCAGTGAGTGTTACAGCTCTATTAGAAGCCGTGGGTTACGGAAGAGAACCATGGAACCCAGTGACTAGTGTTCAGCTTGATTAGGACAAACCCAGGCACTTAGCTGTGCAGGAACAATGGCAAGTCTTTAGCCCCATATGGAGTGGCAATGGGCGCCTAGCTGGATCAGGAGCACAGCGGACACTCTGCCAGATCCGGAGGGATGGAAGTCAACAGTGGGTCTGTGATGGTGGCAAACAGTGGTGGACAGTGAACAAATGCTCAGCTCAAGCCATAACAAAACATGGACCAGAAGAGTACAGTTGCAGGATTTAATAGAGTGAAATAGAGTGAAAACAGAGCTCCCCCATAAGGGGAGGGGACCCAAAGGGGGTTGCTGTAGTCGGCCTGCATGCCTGGGTTTATATCCTGATCCTTGTCCTTCCCACTGTGCTCTCAGGCAATAGATGATTGGCTATTTCTTTACCTCCTGTTTTGCCTAATTAGCATTTTAGTGAGCTCTCTGATTGGTCAGGTGTGGGCTAAGTTGCAAGCCCCGTGTTTAAAGGTAGGTGTGGTCACCTTCCCAGCTAGGCTTAAGGATTCTTAATCGGCCTAGGAAATCCAGCTAGTCCTGTCTCTCAGTCCCCCCTCTCAACAGGAAAATCCAAGTGCTGTTGGAGAGGTTGGCCAACAACCGCTCTAACTGCTTCCTACTGAATTGGGGCGTAGTAGGGGTGGTGTAGTTGAGATTTCCTTGGGAAGGGTGCCTTCAATGTCATTAACATCGGAGCATGGGCTAGCAGGCTGGTCCAGGGGTCCACAGTAGATCTTAGTCATGGACTGCATCTGGGACTCCATTTGAAGAACTGTTTGTAGTTTTGTAGCTTCGATTCTGGAAGAGACAAACTTAACAAGGAGGTTAAAGATACAGGGTGCAAAGAGTAGCAATATTATACTTGCCAGAGGTCCTAAGAAGGGGAGAATCCAGGGCATCCATTGGCTGAGGAGGCTGCAGGGTCCAGTGTTTTGAAGCTCCTCTGCTCTACGTTATATTCGATCTCAAATTTCTTTAGCTTTCTCAGCGATGATTCCTGATTGATTAACATAATAACAGCATTTTCCCTGAAAAATAAACAGGTTCCCCCTCTTTTGGCGGTTAGCAAGTCTAAAGCTCTTCGATTTTGAAGGACTACTGCTGCTAGGGAGTTAAGTTGATCTTGCAAGGTGACCAGGGAGTTGGTGGCCCATTTCATGTCACCATTTAGTTCTTGAGATAGTTTGTAGTCGAACTGAGTAGAGGTTGTGATACCACCAACGCCAGTACCTAGTCCACCTAGCACTCCTGCTCTGATAACAAAAGGAAGAATGGGTACTCTTTTTTGTGGGGCTTAGGTATGACATAATTGTGTAAATCTTGTTCAGTGTAGATGGTCATAGGGGGCACTAAGAATGAGAGGAAGCACATAGATTCTAAAGAGCCATTCAAACAATGATAGGCTGAGGTGCCACAGACAAAAAATATTCCTGAGGGTAGGTAGACTGTTCGAGTGGGAGGAGTTACCCACCTGATGCATTGGTAGTTGGTTGTGTCTATAGTATTGATAAATTTTACACAGGTGAGGTTTGAAGTATGGGTTATTTCCAGATTGGAAACAAGAGGTCCTACTAAAACGGAAGTGGTGTTTATTTCTGTGCTGAAGTTGTTCCATTGTTCAGAAACCTGTTATGCCAAGGAACCCTCTTAGTTGCTTTAGGGTTTTGGGATGAGGATAAGGCAGTATAAGCTGGACACGTTCCTCACTGAGGGCCCTGGTGCCTTTGTATAATTTTAGCCCTAAGTATTTAACCTGCTCTGAGCAGACCGGAGCCTTTGGTTTGGAAACCTTGTAGCCACAGGTAGCAAGGAAATTTAAGAGTGCTTGGGTGGCTTGATGGCACAAGGTTTCTGAACGGGTGGCTAAAAGTAAATCATCCATGTACTGAAGGACAAGAGTGTCCAGGTATGAGAATTGGCTCAAGTCTTGGGCTAAAGCCTGGCCAAATAGATGGGGGCTATCCCCGAACCCTTGGGATAAAACAGTCCAGGTGAGTTGAGACGCTGGGTTTGAAGGATCTTCAAAGGGAGAGTCAGGATGTACAGGGATGCAGGAAAAGGCATCCTTAAGGTCCAGGACTGTAAACCACTCTGCTTCCTCTGGTATTTGCAAAAGCAGAGTATAAGGGCTAGGTACAGCTGGGAAACAACCTCATTGATAATCCTAAGATCTTGCACTAACCTCCACTGTCCACTGGGTTTCTGTACTCCTAAAATTGGAGTATTGCAGGGACTATTGCATGGTTTTACTAGGCCTTGGGCTTTTAGGTCCTTAACAATCCTTTGGAGGCCTTGTTGGGCCTCGGGTCTGAGGGGGTACTGCCTTTGGTAGGGAAAGGAGGTGGAATCCTTTAGTTTAACTTGAACAGGATGGGCATTTTTTACTCATCCATATTGTCCTTCTGTTGCCCAGACTTCAGGATTAATTCCTTCCTCAAGCAGGGGACAACAAACGGGTGTTCCTTCTCCTATGTTCAGGTGTATAATGGCCCCTGCTTTTGCTAGAATGTCTCTCCCTGACAAGGGAGTGGGGCTTTCAGGCATAATTAGAAAAGCATGTGAAAGCAGTAAAGTTCCTCAGTCACAACATAGTGGCTGGGAGAAGTATCTAGTGACTGGCTGTCCTAGGACCCCTCGGATAGTGACAGATCTGGAGGACAGTTGTCCGGGACAGAAGAGTAAGGCTGAAAAGGCTGCGCCAGTGTCCAGGAGACAGTTAACCTCATGGCCCTCAATGGTCAAGCATACCCGGGGCTCTGTGAGGGTGATGGCATGGGCTGGCGCTTGCCCGGGGCACCCTCAGTCCTACTGCTGGCTTCTGACTCAGAGGACCTTCATCCCCTGGTGTAGTGCGCCTTCCAGTGATTCCCTTGACATAAGGGGTGTGGACGAGGGGGCAGCTTACTTCTACTTGGACAATCTTTTTTAAAGTGTCCTTGTAGACGCACTGGAAGCAAGCCCTATTAGGCATTTGATTTGTCCAGCTTACGCCTTTTCCAGAGCCTCTAAAGTCTGCTTGCCTGAGGGCCATGACATGACTAAAGCAGTGGCCTTTTTTTATCCCATTTGTCGCATTCCGCCTGCTCCTCCTGATCTTTATTATAAAAAAATGTTGCCAAGTTCAGTAGGGTGTCTAAGTTTTGCTCTGGGCCTAAGGCAGATTTTTGAAGTTTTTTCCTAATGTCTGCAGCTGACTGAGTGATAAACTTATCCTTTAAGATTAGTTAGCCTTCAACAGAGTCAGGTGACAGGGAGGTATGCTTCCTCAATGCCTCCTTTAGTCTCTCCCGAAAGGCAGTAGGATTTTCTTCCTTCACCTGTGTTACGGTGGACATCACTGAATAATTCATAGGCTTCTTCCTAGTTTTCCTTAGTCCTTTTAGCACGCAAGTTAGCAAATGTCTGTGGCACCAATCTTCATGTTCTGATTCTGTGTCCCAATGAGGGTCTACACTGGGAACTGCCTGCTGGCCTGTGGGGAATCGTTCTTTCCTCTGTTGTCATCCTATCATTGACCTGACTGAGATACCAGAGATTCGCCAAACTTTCAGGCTGCAGTTATGGCAGCATTTCTCTCATTTGGGGTTAGTGTTTGATTTAGCAGTAACATTATATCTCTCCATGTCAGATCAAAGGAGTGTCCTAACCCTTGTAAAACATCCATATAGCCATCAGGGTTATCTGAGAGTTTACCTAGGTCTATTTTAATTTGCTTTAAGTCTTAGAGAGAAAACGGTACATGCACTCTGGCTGGGTCGAATTCTCCTCCTCCCACTGCTTGGAGGGGGCATAATCAGGGAATATTCACCCTCTTTGGTTCATGGTTTACCCCTTTATCTATCTCCTTTTGGACCGAATGGGTTGAAGGGGGGGGTCCTTATTAGTTGGGGAAGGAGTTGGGGGACGCTGGGGTAGGGAGGTAGACTCTGAGGGCTTCCTGTAGGGCATAAATCACACTTTTTACATAATTGCGAGTTGTCTCTTAATGAAAAGAAAGTTTGTACATACGGCACTTCACTCCATTTGCCTTCTTTTCTACAAAAGAGGTCTAGTTTTAAGACAGTGTTAAAATTTATACTTCCCTCAGGACGCCAGGTTTCTCCCCCTTGAAGAGGATATCATTGCCAGGTGGTACTGCAGAAGAATATAAGTCATTTCTTTCTTAGCGTCTGAGGGTCAAATTGGTCCTAATTCTCCAGAATACATCTTAGGGTTGTTTTTGCCTCGGGGGGAACGTTTCCCATCTGAAAAAAGAACATAGGGATGCCAGCACCCCTAGTCATTTTCCAATGAGCATTAGTCATAGAGCGCCCTCTATGGTCCTAATGCTTATTCCTTTCCAGGGTGCGTAACCACCTGTGGACCTCTGCTTATTGGATTAGTTACGCTCACTGATGTAGCAGTCCTGCACCTGTTTTCCTACCTCTTTTGACCGCAAAGAAAGGGATCCAGGCTGCTGGATTCTAGTGGTCCTTTACCAGCGTGCCCAACATTGCCTTTGCGCTCGGCGGTGAGTTCCTTTCCAGGGTGCGTAACCACTCATGGTCCTCTGCTTATCGGATTAGTTACGCTCACCAATGTAGCAGTCCTGCACCTGTTTTCCCGCCTCTCTTGACTACAAAGAAAGGGGTCTGGGCTGCTGGATTCTAGTGGTCCTTTACCAGTGCGCCCAACATTGCCTTTGCACTCAGGGGTGAGTCCTAGAGCTGGACTGGGTATTTCATAACAACCCAGCTGCCCCGTCAAGATACATTCCTATAAACAACAGTTCTTATGCAAATTCATTTGAGAAAGGGTGTAGCTAACCTTTTGAGTCAGGATTGAGATAGTCTTTTGATTCTGTAAGTACTTTAAGGCTTGGCTAAGTGCAAACAGCTCGCACGTTTGAGGAGACCAATTATTAGGCAAATTTTCTAACTCTGCTTCCACAAGAGTCTTCATATCAATTACTGAATACCCATTGGGTTTTTTTCTCAGTCACCTGGGAGGAACCATCTATCGTCCTATCCTGAAGGGAGTTCCTTCTAGGTCTGGTTGGACCTTGCATGGTAATTAAGATTTAATCCCCTGTTAGGAAATCTGCTGGGTTAAGGATTTTTTACAGGACAGCTCTGGGTTGTCAGTGGCATCAGTGCTTTCGGGCTATGCCCTTATTTACACTGACAACCAAGTGGTATTGGAGTGTTATAGGGTCACAGAGAAGACCTTCAATGATTAATTACAGGTTTTAAATTTACCCTGGCTTTTAAAGAAATAGGGCACACTTTTTTACTTTTTCTATCTTTTTATTTTTCTCTTGGACTCCCTCTTTGTCTCTCTCTCTGTCTCTCTCTCTCCGAGTCTCTCTCTCTCAGCCATTACAAACTTGGGGCCCTGGCAAGGGTGGTGGGGAACAGGTCCAACATAACTGCCCATGTTGAGAGCTGTAGACCTAAATCGGGAGGGACACCAGGAATAAGACTCCCTGGGTTTATAGCCTAGATGCCTAAGGATGCAGCCTAGAGCTTCCTTAGATCCCTTTGGAGATACAACTTGCTAGAGGAAATGAAAGTCTGAACCATTAGTATCTAGGAGGCAGGGATCAGAGGAAGTAGATTCAGAGGTAAGGAGAATTTTGGGGCTACACTTTCAAGATTGTGGTGGTCAGGACCCAGGAGGTATGGGTCAGAAGGAAAGGTAGGGGTGTACGCATGGGCAACTGTGGAGTAGAGACTTCTGGCTGCGCCATGATCTCAACCGGCTACTGCCGGGAGTTTGGGACGACAGCTTTCTGCCTCTAGTCGGCCCTCGGCTTCCCAAGAAAATTGAAAGTGGAAGCTGGCTCCAGGCAGACCAATGTCCCCACTCCAGAAGGGCTGGGGGCTGTTAGAAAGTCCTTCCCCAGATAGCCTCACACCTGAGTCTTAAGTCCAGCGGCCACGCTAATCGTTTTTAACTGGCCGACAGGTGCCTGGTATTTTCCTCCAATTCTAAGGAAGGATAGGACAGAATAGCAAGCGAAAGTGGCCCAATATTACCGCTTTTGGAGGTCCCTTCGTGGTCGCCAAAATGTTACCGGGGGGTCCTTGCTCCCAGAGCTCCCAAGATGGTGGCGGGCCGCTTCCAAAATGGTGGTGGGCCACTTCCAAGATGGTGGCAAGCCTCGTGTTCTCTGACCCGGGGTTCTTGGCCTCACAGATTCCAAAGGATGGAATTTTGGGCCATGTGGTGAGTGTTGTTGCTCTATTCGAAGCTGTGGGTCATGGAAGAGAACCATCAGCTCAATTAGGACAAACCCAGGCACTTAGCCATGCAGGAAAAATGGCAAGCCTTTAGCCCAATCGAGAGTGGCAATGGGTGCCTTGCTGGATCAGGAGCACAGCGGATACCCTGCCGGATCTGGAGGGATGCAGGTCAAGGGCAGGTCTGCGATGGCGGCAAACAGCAGTTGTGGACGGCAAACGCATGCTCAGCTCGAGCGGTAACAAAACATGGACCATAAGAGTACAGTTGCAAGATTTAATAGAGTGAAATAGAGTGAAAACAGAGCTCCTATATAAGAGGAGGGGACCCAAAGGGGGTTGCTGTAACCGGCTCAAATGCCTGGGTTTATATCCCAATCCTTGTCCCTCCCGCTGTGCTCTCGGGCAATAGATGATTGGCTATTTCTTTACCTCCTGTTTTGCCTAATTAGCATTTTAGTGAGCTCTCTAGTCGGGTGTGGGCTAAGTTGCAAGCCCCATGTTTAAAGCTGGAAGCAGTCACCTTCCCAGCTAGACTTAGGGATTCTTAGTTGACCTAGGAAATCCAGGTAGTCCCATCTCTCAGTATTACATGATGAAATTCTTGGCCATGGTCATTTAAATTGTTCAGATTATTCCTCTGGGTTTAAGGAAAAGTATTATTCTCTCCAAAAGAGATGAAAAAAGGGTCAGAGCACATTCTTGACCACCTTCCCTAATTCTGAGGGCTTCCCTGGGATGCAAATGTTCATTGCAACACTATTCACAATAGCAAAGACATGGAATCAACCTAAATGCCCATCAATGATAGACTGGATAAAGAAGATATGGTATATATACACCACGGAATGCTATGCAGCCATAAAAAAAATGAGATTATGTCTTTTGCAGGAACATAGATGAAGCTGGAAGTATTATTCTTAGCAAGCTAATGCAGGAACAGAAAACTAAACACCACATGTTCTCACTTATAAGTGTGAGCTAAAGAATGAGAACACATGAATACACAGAAGGGAACAACAAAGACACTGGGAACTACTTGGGGGTGGAGGGTGGGAGGAGGGAGAGGCTCAGTAAAGGTAACTACTGGGTGCTGGGCTTAATACCTGAGTGATGAAATAATGTACAACAAATCCCCGTGACACAAGTTCACCTAGGTAACAAACCTGCACATGTAGTTGCAAACCTAAAATAAAAGTTTAAAAAAAAGACATGAAAAGGCACCACTTTCTGACACTGTTCTGGGAGTTGGATCTGTTCTATGTGACTCACAGACGTATCATATATGTGAAAGCCATCCCGCAAGAGTCTAAGTGACTATTTTAATAACCCTGAATTCTTCTGGCTTAGGCAGCCTGTCCTTGCTTCTTCTGACAAGTAGAGGAAATGGAAAGATTCAGGAGCAGGAGGAGCTTCCTGTAACCCTGCTAAGAAGGGAGATAGATCAAAAGAGAAAAAAAACATGTTAGCGGCCAATCGGTGTAGGAAATGTTCTAGATTAGTTAGCTACAAAGTTGTTTGCAGATTAAGCCTGAATGGTATAGAGGTTAAAAGCCTAAGCTTTGCATTTCTGTCGCTTGTCAGCCTAATAAATGTACACTATACAAGGAACACAATGATTAAAATTACAAATAAGAAAATACATATATAAACCAAGAAAACCAAATGTGGAGGAAAAAAATTGAGATTGAAATAAGAGAAATCAAATAAAAGGAATACAGATAACACATTGAACTGGTTAAAAAAAAGAAAACCGGGGCTCAGAAATTAAAAGTATAACTAGGGAAAAATGAGAATAAAATAATCAAAATTTTAGATGTTAAAATCAGAAACGTAGAATTTCGAGGATATAGTTGCGAATAAAGCTTAAGGAGAAAAGGTAACAACAATGTTTTCAAGTGAAAACAATGAAGGAAAAAATTAAATGGAATAGAAAGAGTAAGCCAGGTAGCTGAAACCTTTTAAAGAAAGATAAAAACTAAGCAAAAATCTAGTCAAAGGAATATATCATTCTCTAAGTGCTAAACATTTAGAGAACAAAACAACTTAAATGTAGAAGACAAGAGCTGAACAATTTAAAACATGAGAAGAGCAAATATTTTTTCGAAAAGCAAATTACCTTCTTTTTAAAGACATCTGGCTTTTGTTATTATTATTCTCCAAATACTAAAGCAGCCACACATTCCAGTAGATTGTCTCTGTACTTTTGATTCGGGAGGCCAGGTTCTTTGCAAAGCATCCCTCAGGGTTCCTTTAGGCCAAAGCCAAAGGTAGCAAGCAGTTCAAAATGTTTAACCTCTTCTGGCTCCTCTTTCTCCAGAGGCTCTTGTCTCCCATGTCTGCATGGCCTTTAATTAGATAACTTGAGGAGCTGGCCATGGAAACAGGCTGGAAAGATACATGCCCTGGTTTGGCCAGCTCTGTTGTCTGCCTTGGCTCTGCAAGCAGTCCTGCAGACATGCTCTTCACTGCTTGCCAGGAAGCCCAGGAATCACTCTACAGATATATTGCCTGCCTCCATAGCTCCAGTTGCTGAGGTTATTATGGACTCTCCTTCTTCTTCTCACGTTGCTGACTGCAGTTTAGACAATCATACTGTTTTGTAATATTTCAGGCCACAGGTAGAGAGCAAGTCAGTGGTTTTCAAACTTTTCCCCTACTACCCACAATAAGAAGTACATTTCATTTAGTGACTCAATACATATATATACGTATGTATCTATATAACTGAAAAATAAAATTTGTAAAATAAATACCCTCTCTAATATCATGCCCTCTGTTGCTTTCTTTTGTATTGTGTATTACAGAATTGTCTCATGTGGGAGCTAGAGCAATGGTTTTTAAAAACAAACATTTTGCTGGCTGGGCGCGGTAGCCAACACTTTGGGAGGCTGAGGCGGGCAGATCACGAGGTCAAGAGATTGAGACCATCCTGGCCAACATGGTGAAATCCCGTCTCTACTAAAAATACAAAAATTAGCTGGGCGTGGTGGCACACGCCTGTAGTCCCAGCTACTCAGGAGGCTGAGGCAGGAGAATCACTTGAACCCGGCAGGTGGAGGTTGCAGTGAGCCGAGATCTCGCCACTACACTCCAGCCTGGCGACAGACTGAGACTTTGTCTCAAAAAAAGAAAAAAAATATACTTCCATCCACACTAAGAAATACATTTAACATTGTGTCCCAATATACATATGTGTATGTATCTATATAATTAAAAGTTTCACAATGCAATATTCTTTCTTTTAATAGCATATCTTTTCATCTTTTACTGTATTGTATTATAGTTGTGTTTACAGCTTCCCAGCTATATCTACCTACATTAGCAACTCCAGGATTCCTATCAAGCCAACTCAATGACAGCATAGAGAGCCACAGGCGAGGAAAGTGCCCAAAAGGGTGGTAGAATCACTACAACATCTTTGTACTGAAAACGCACTTTACTGCTTCCTATTGTCGATCTGGTCTATACATTGTGTCTTTGTTCCCCCAATATTTGTGAAATATTAATATTTTTTATCTGTAAGGTGCTTACGATAGGGGATGGGGAGCCACGATACTGGTGAAGAGGCTCTAGAAGGGTTTCTACATGTCATTAAATGGAGAGTATCTGTTGGACATAATTTTTTTGGAAGCTACAGAAAATCCTGTTTGAGCATGCTTAAATAAAAAGTAGAGGCCGGGCGCGGTGGCTCAAGCCTGTAATCCCAGCACTTTGGGAGGCCGAGACGGGCGGATCACGAGGTCAGGAGATCGAGACCATCCTGGCGAACACCGTGAAACCCCGTCTCTACTAAAAAATACAAAAAACTAGCCGGGCGAGGTGGCGGGCGCCTGTAGTCCCAGCTACTCGGGAGGCTGAGGCAGGAGAATGGCGTAAACCTGGGAGGCGGAGCTTGCAGTGAGCTGAGATCCGGCCACTGCACTCCAGCCCGGGCTACAGAGCGAGACTCTGTCTAAAAAAAAAAAAAAAAAAAAAAGTAGAATTTATTTACATAACTGAATGTTTAGCAGATATTTGTCTTCAGGCTCAGCTTGATCCAGGACTCAAAGATATTCTAAGATGTATCTCTCAGCTCTGCTTCCTTGAAACGTCCCCATTCTCAAGGTGGCTCCCTTGTGTTTGCAAATATAACTATAATAGTTCCAAACCCTAGAGCACCATGAATTGGAGGAAAAGTTTATGTGTCTGCCTAGGGTCATGTTCTCATTCCTGAACCAATTTTTGTGTCTTGGGAGACAGGATATGCCAACAGGTGTAAGCCAGTCAGGGCCTACTCCTGGAGCTCCCACATGATTAAGAGCGGGAGGACTGATTTTTCAAAGAAAATAAAGAGAACTGTGACTTGGAAGATGGGAAAATGGAAGTGGGGCTGCCAAGGGCAGGTGCTTACTCCCCTGAGCCTCAAATGCAACATGGAGATAGGAAAAAAAGTTGTGGTGGGGAAGCCTTGTCAGTGGGAGGCAAGCCTGGGACAAGGGCAGCACTGTAGGTGGAAGGAGCAGCATGAGTGAGGCCTGGGGCCACCTTATGTCATCTGGTGTAGCTGGAGCTTCAGGACACACACTGAGGAGCAGTGAAAGATGAGAAGATAAAGTGAAGAGCTGATAAAGCAGCCTGTGGGTTCTGATTTCCAGGCTACAGACTGAAGACTAAATTTAACAGCTAGTCAGAATTCAGAGAAAGATTTTAAGTAAAATTAGCACCGTAGGAGATTAACTTTGCATTAATGAAATGGGACAGAAATGCATTGGAAAAAGACAATCCTGGAAGATTACAGTATTCCAGGCAAGTATTAATGGAGTGCCAAACAGGGTAGCAGTGAGTGTAGAGAAAGGAGAGGAATTGATTCCAAAGCTCTGTGCCCCTCTATCCCATCACCCCATGAAATTTTCCATTCTGTTGACTTATGCAAAGGCGGGAGAGATCCTTTAATATTTAATTGGCTTCAAACAAAGATTAAATAATTCCTGAGAGCTTTACTTTTCAAAAAGGAAGAAATCACCTGTTCGAAAAAAATAAACGAATAGTTATGTAACTCATCACAGAAGTCTATTTCATCACATGGTTCAATTACTTTGCAACAAATGAAATGAAACAAAGACATTTCTAAGTCACCGAACAGGCTCCAGAGGTCTCTCTCCCTAAAGCCCTATGGTTAGAATTCTTCTCATCCCTATCTTACAGAACCTTCATTCCAACCATCCAGTATTACATATGTGCATTTTTTATTACCCACTAGATTATGATGAGGGTTTGGGGTGACAGGAACCTCTTCAGGTTGAGTAAAATAATTTCTTTTCCTCTTTCACAAGCA